GGGGGAGGGTCGCAGGCGTTGGGGGGTGTTGCAGGCGTGGGGCGGGGGGGTCGCAGGCGTGGGCCTGGTGGGGGTGGTGCCCCAGACCTGGACCTACCGCACCCGCAGCAGCCGGTTCCGCTCTGCCTTCCCCGAGGCCCCCCTCTCCTGGAGGCACTTCCTGGCAGCCGGGGCCTCCACTCGGGCCGACCTGCAGGCGTCCTCCAGCTGCCTCTCCTGGATCTCGATGTGCCACATGGCGCTCCTTGCAAACAGGAGGCACTTCTGTTTACGCTGGCAAAGGGGTTGGAGAGCCGGGCCACACCCCCCGCGCAGCATCCACTCCAGGGCTCCGCCACCGAGTCTGACCTCCACCCAGGCCCCTTGTCTCCTGCAACAACGCCCTGCTCTGTCCCTGAAGCCCTGCTCTCTGGGCCCAGGGACGCAGTGACCGTGCCACATGGCACCGCCACGAGCTTCATGCTTTGCTTACGTACCTCTCATTCCCATGAAAACAGGCAGGGGCTCCAAGTGTTTTACTCACTGCTGACCCTACATGCTTACATCGGGGTCTGACACTCAGCAGGTGCTCAGTGACCGTGAGTGACGCCGTCTAAGCCACAGAGCCCCAAGTTCACACGTGCCCCTGAAGGAAGCCCTTGGGGACAGCAGACGCCTGCTGCGTGGGCCGCCTGCCCTCAGCCCACACCTGGGGGGACTCATCGACATCCCTGCGGCCTGGGGTGCCCTCGAGCCCTGAAGTCACGTCCCCCCAAGAATAGGTTCGAGGGGTCACTACGCTGTCCAAGGGGACGCTGACTAGGAAGGGGAACCAGGTGGGCTTCCAGCGGGAGCCAGTGCTCAGTGGTGAAGCAGACAGCAGTGGACTCTACGGCCATGAAGGGAGACACCGGCTGCGCACGAGGACATGAGTGCCTCTCACGGCTGCTGTGTGGCATGGAGGAGACGGGCACGGGGAGTAAGCACTGCAGGGCCTCACACACTTAACACTAAGGGGCAGAGGACACCTGCGGTCACCTGGGGTCAGCACTGCTGACGGACAGGATGCACAAGGGACGTTTGACATACATTTTCCTGCCTGTAAATTAGACCTAAATAAAGCTGATCGAAAAGAAGGCAAATGGGCAGCAGCCACGCCCACATGAGGAGGGGCAGGCAGGCGGGCTATGGGGGCGGGGCGGCCGCAGCGGGGCAGGGTCAGCAGACTGGTACTTGGCGGGAGGAGACGGGCGCGCCTCGGGTTCTGTGGAGCTGGAAGCACGGCTGTCAACTCCTGGTTCTAACGCAGACACACAGAGACATGCACGCGTTTCCCAGTGCGGCCGCCTGGCACCCGGCCCTAGGTCCCTAAACACCAGTCTCCCCTGTGAGAAGCCAAGGCTCTGGCTTGGTCCGGACAACCGGCTAGGTCTAGGACTAGGGCGGACAGGAAACAAGTGGGCTAGGAACACGTCGTTACCCCAGAAAGCACTCAAAGAACGACAGGGAGCCTGCTTGAAAGAGGTGCTAACTGGCCCAATTGGGGGAGACTGGAGCATCAAAATAAATAATGACGGTGGGACTTCCCTGGTGGCGCAGTGGTTAAGAATCCGCCTGCCAATGCAGGGGACACGGGTTCGAGCCCTGGTCAGGGAACTAGATCCCACATGCATGCTGCAACTACAGATCTCACATGCTGCAACTTAGACCTGGTGCAGCCTAAATAAATAAATAAAATAAATATTTTTTTTAAAAAGTGTAAACTTCAGGGACTTCCCTGGTGGTCCAGTGGTTAAGACTCCATGCTCCCAATGCAGGGGGCCTGGGTTCGATCCCTGGTAGGGGAACTAGATCCCGCGTGCCGCAACTAAGACTCGGCACAGCCAAATAAATAAATAAATATTTTTAAAAAATGTGTAAACTTTAAAACCGAAAAAGAAACCCTGCACACCCCATCTCGATCAAGTGACCAAAGTTCCCCCACTGGAAATGGGACCGGTGGCCATCGTACACCTTGTTGGCAGGGGCGGGGGGCGGGGGG